GCAGTTTTTAGTGTGAACGCCTTCTCAGGCGCCATTCCTTTCTAGTTGCTCTCACCTTTCAATTTTGGGAGGATTTCATAAGCATTACGACAATTTCAAAATGGTTTTAAGGGCTGGCGACATTATCTCGACAACGTGTTACATACCGGAGAATCCAGTCATTGGTGTTGAGGGAAATTCGTATCCTGTAGGATCTCTTGTAGCTGGAACTCTAGTCAATAGGTCAGTTTCCAGATTATACTTTGAAGATTACTATTACATTTTGACTTCAGTCGGTTAGGTTTATAATTTACCTAATTTTCTCTGAGGTACAAAGCGAATTTTCCATCTTACAAAGAGCGAACTTGCTGTTTGCTTCGCTGAGGTTTGGCATTTTGGGGTGCGCTTCGTTGCGCGTGTCCATCGAAAGTAGGTCACGCCGCAGCCGTCGCATGCGGCGACTCAGCCCGCGATACTTGACAGCTGTAAGCGGGGCGTATGATTTGCGCTTTCTCCACGGTAGTCAGCCAAAGAGAAGATAACAAAGACAAATGCAAATCGTTCGCTCCACTCACACTTGGTGGTACTGTAATGTCTTCCCGAGATCTCAGTGGAGTGCGCCGCGCGCGAAGTGGGCGGGGTGACCTACTTTCGACGGACACGCGCAACGGACGTTCGCCGGCACTTTGTCGTCCTCGTGTGTTCGGTGCCCATGAGTCCTTCATGGAAACAGTTGTTATGCCTTGCTAATTAATACGGAAGAAATGAAATATTGTTTGTGGTGGGCAGCTTGTTAGTGAATTATTCGAGTATAATCGTCCCCTTTTTCGAATGGTAATTGTAGGCTTATCTCAAGACCTAAGCATTTGCTAGCTCAAAAGGAGCAATAGCGTAGCGGTTAATCATATGAAAGTTACTCAAGAACTATTTTCAGTATTGAACGATTTCCGACATTGATAGAATACTTGGATAGTGATGTGTTTGTCGTAAAGGCAGGTACGGCGGCAACTATTGTCCGACATCAGGGAGACTTCACCGTTATTCGGGTAAGAGAACTTCTTCTCATTAGCTTGTTGAATGGGGCTAATATCCTTCAATAGCTTATTTATTCCCCTGTTAGCATACTTACAAATTACATACTTCTATCCCTTGCTGTTTTTCTACCATGCCCTCTAGCATATTCAAATACCACTAATGCAAAAATTATGGTTATCGACATTTTGCGAAAATCGGAGGGGTTTGAAGTTGTCAAAAGTTGGTGAGCTCAGGAAAAAATGTAATTGGTTGTAGAGCTGTGTTTAATTGTTTAGACATAAACGGAAACCTCAAGAGTAGACCTTCTAAATTTTTATTTTTTATTGCTTCCCCGGGCTAATTGCTTCCCTGGGCTTAACTCTCCTTTCTGCACTTCTTTTATTGTAAGATTAGAATGTAGACCACCAAGTCAAACCAGTCGTCAGAGGCTGGTCTTTATGCGCTAAATTTCCTTTCAAGCATCATTTGCCTCCCATATTAAATTTTCTCGAGGAAGTGATCATAACTCTCATGTTATTCAAGTTTTTAGCTTCCCCATAAGCACGAATTCTCCTTCCATCGTACATGTATGGCGAGAGTTGGTCGGCTGTCACATGCCGATATAGAAGGGAAAATCTTCGGCTCAGCTCAAATGCACAGACGTTTTGGATATAAAATGGCAAGTGGGCTCTTTCACAAAAAGGATGGGTACTTCGGTCGAAAGGTTAGTTTGGTTCTCGAGAGATCCAATAACGGAGGGGTACTTCTCGAATAGTAGTAGTTTAGATTCGTCCATTGCCTCCAGTTCGGGTTCTAGACGAACCTCCTCCACCACCACCTCCGAATCAACAGTTTACTTTAACCAAGGATCAACTCAGCGGATTATTTGGTCATGCAAAAGTTCACAATTTGCTACCGTCTGGATACTGTACGAGAGACTATGATTACTACAAACCGGAAGAATAGATCTTTTTTTGTTTGTTTATTTGTTACAATGTAGCTGTTGATAAATATCTAGGAGATCATTGTGTGCCAGAACACATCCGTTTGAACAGATTTCTAGGGGGAGTCGTTTAGTCTCCAATACGATGAAGTCTCCCAGAAATACTTGAGATACCGTCTTCTGTCTACAAGTTTGAAAGAGAGCGTACGGAACACAAACAGTACGGAGTCACCCAGTGCTTCTTATCGCAGTATGTTCTGTCTGCTTCCCGAGAGAATACCTCCCTCCTTCTATTGGCAAGCGATGGTTTTTTATGTGTTTCAAAAAGTTAATGAGCTTTGGAATGTTTCAGAAGTACTCCTCCCACTCGCTTCAACACAGGCTTATTAGAAGCTACGATTAGGGTAGTGAAGTCTTTGAGATTAACCATTCCCGTTTTTGGGATTCGCCATGCTCTTAACATTCATTCAGAATGGTAATGGCGTTTCAGTGCGTAGGGACATACAATGACATCATCTGGCCGCTCGATATACGAGTCAGTGCTTTTATCCTCCCGGACGAGCCTGGTACCTACCAACCGATCTTGGAGAGATGAAGGCTCGGTAGGCTCTGGTAGTAGTGAGCCACAACCGTTCCTTTTGACTGTGTGTGTGCGCTGCGCTAGATTCCGGCCGCGAAAGCTACAGGATGACTTTATTGTACACCTCAATGAATTCCTATAGACCTCCCTTTTCTTGCGGCAGGCTCCTATGAGTTATGCGAAATTTAAGGCTGTTTCCTGTTATTCTAAGTGTATTTCTTGAAGAGTCAAATATGATCGGTCGGCCTACGCTAAAACATATCAGCGCTTCTGATATAGACAGTTGTTGACTACCGCCAGTGTTCGTTGTGGTAGACAATCCATGTTTGATGCTTATCGTCTCAGGAGCATGACGTGTCCTGCTCGTCGATGTATGGCGCC